TGAGAATGTTGAGGTTGATTTTTAGGATAGTTGATCCACTTTTTTAGTTTGTTAGATTATGTATATATTCGCTATATCAATGATTATTCGTTGCGATTTTCAGTGGAATGTCTGACCGTTGTATTTTTTATTGCAATATAGCAATTTTTTTAAAACTTAATTTCATGTAGTAGTTTTTGTTGTTAATTAAAGTAATTACGATTTTACATTAAAATTATATTAAAAATAAATTGTTTTTCAAAATATCAATTATATATCTTTTCATAGCTGGGTTGATTTTTTGAAGATATGAAAGAAGCATTTTGACAGATATGTGAAAGAAACAAATTCGTGAGGAATAATCTATATATATTGAAAAAGAGAGGTCAATAAATCATTTGTGGAAACTTTTAAAAAATTGGTCAACAACACCATTGACTTCCCATTTGTGGAAACCAATTAAAAAAATCCAAAAACTATTTATTTTTTTATTTTCTTTTTATCTTAAATCATTCCAAAACAGAATACTGGAATCATTTCAATATAAACAATTTGGTCGGATTTTCTTTCCAATTATTTAGGAAACCACTGGATTTTTTCAACTATGAAATCATAGGAATCCCAATTTTTAAGGTAACAAATTTGGAGATTTTTTTGGATATATTCCAACTTATCTTAACATCCATACAATTACATTACTGATATATTTTTGCATATACACGGGGAAATATTCAACTTAAATGAATAAAATATCTCGTGTAGATAGTTACGAAAAAATATCTCGTGTAGATTGATATTCAACTTAAATACCCATAAAAAAATTACTCATAAGTTGGCATGAGTACTAAATATTTAATACATGTATTAAGTACCCGTAATAAATGAAAATGCCAACTTTTCATGAATTAAGTACCCGTACATGGGTATTTTAATTTTATTTCTTATTCATGTATTTAGTAATGAAATACATGTATTACCCATGTACTGGTACATTAAATTAAGTTAAATAATTTGAATTAAGTACCCGTACATAGGTATTTAAGTTACGAAAAATGTTATTGAATGTCATTTTTTCAACGAATGAATTGATATTACATTACTTCAATAACATTTTTTTGACAATTGAATTCAACTTAAGGCATTTTGTCTTTTCATTAATTATTAATTAGGAAACGAGAGATTAATAGGTACTACATTGGTGTTTTTATAAAAAAAAATTGATTGTCCAACAAAAAGTGAAAAAAGATAAAATTCTTATGTGAATTAAAAAACTATATATATAGTTTTGTGAAGTATTCTTTATTTTATTGAATATATATTTATTTTTATTAAAATTAAATAGATTAATTGATTTATTCGACAATTAATAACGCCCGTGAATATCAACTTTTAAGTAAGGGTACTTAAAAGTTGGTATTTAGTGCGGGTACTTAAAAGTTGGTATTTTGTGCGGGTACTTAAAAGTTGGTATTTAGTACGGGTACTTAAAAGTTGGTATTTATTACCCATGTACGGGTATTAAATACCCATAAAATTTCTGATAAGTTGGCATTTTCATTTAAGTTACGAAAAATAGTTAATGATATTTTAAATATTTCACTTAAATGAATTAACATTTTCAGTATGTCATACTGAAATTGTACCCGTACATTTATAAATATTTTTGCGATATACCCGTACATGGGTATTAACATTTTTCGTAACCATGTTGATATATTTATATCAGTATAAATATCATTTACTGATATATTTTTGCGATATACCTGTACAAAAATGACATATATTATTCAATTTTTCGTAACAATTATTTAAGTACCCGTGTAATATTAAACATTCATGTTAATATAAATTTTTAATTACTATTACTATAATTAAATTGATATAAAATAATAATAATAATAATAACAACAACAACAACAACAACAACAACAATAACAATAATAATAATAATAATAATAATAATAATAATAATAATAATAATAATAATAATAATAATAAACATCTGCTTATTATAAATTCAAAAATTAAATCTACACATGTAAGACATCACAAATAGTTTGAAATTCTCCTTTTAATTTAAAGGCAAAGATACCCAGATATATAGATACCCTAATTTTGTTTTCTTTTATATTGTTAAATATAAAATTCAACACACATTGGGTAGAACCAAATTTGCCAAAAAATTTGATGATGATTTAAAAAGATAAATACACGGAAATCGTGGTTCCAAACTCTGTCGATATGATATACCATTATATAAATTCGTTTAGTTTACATTATTCATTTAATTTAGATCAATATTAACCCTAATATGTAGATACCATAATTGCATGTTGTTTAATAATCTAAAATATTCAACACGTTTTCATCCTAAGCAGATTTAACGCAAAATTAGAGAAAGATTCTACAAGATAAATACAAACGTACAATTCCACAAGATAAATACAACATTAGAGAACGGTTCTACAAGATCTCTACACGTTTTAAATAAAAAAACCGATGAGAATGGTAAAGATTTGTATCACTGCTATATCATTCGGTTTACTATTGTCCAAATCATGTAGAGATTTTTTTGTTTCTGTTATCTCGATTTTTTTGCGTCTTTTATGATGAATAGCTTATTATCTTTTGAAATCACCATACGCCTAAACAAACGCATTCTGGAATATTTACCATATTATTTAGTATTTTTACTTTTTACTTTAATAATATTAAGCAAACATTTTTTATGTCACACGATTTTGTGTTATAAATACCCAAGCAAACATTTTTTATGTCACATTATAATTTTGTGTATATATATATATATATATATATATATATATATATATAAATATATAAAATAAGAATTGTCTTACATCATTTTTAGCAATCTTTTCCCGCCATTATCATTAAATACACCCTATTTATAGTAATTCTTTATAGAAAAATATCGCAACATTAGATGTTACTTCTTTATACAATTTAGTGTTTTTAATATTTTAAACATACATGTTTAATGTTCTTTTAAACAAGATAAAAAACTATAAAAATATTAGTGAATTTTATTTAGCTAATCAAGTATAATCGATATTAAAATGATAAACTAACAATTCATTTGTCGAACTGCCATATAAATTATATATCATACTATAAATAGATCCATCTTAGACTTCTTCGACACCAATTCCTTCTGATTTTGGGGTTCCATTTAACAGTCAAGGTCAGTCTTTTGGTATACAAAAAATATAAAAATATTAGTTAATATTATTTAACTAATCAAGTAATCGATATTAAAATGATAAACTAATAGCTCATTTGTCTGATTGCCTAAGTAAATTATCATATTATAAATAGATCCATCTTAGGATTCCATTTAAGTTGCAGGAGCACCAGTTACTTCTAATCTTAGGGTTCCATTTAAGAGTCAGGGTCAGTCTTTATGTGCGTTGGCATATTATTAAAGAAATCGGTTCTTAGCCACGACCAATTATATACTGTTGTTTTACGTGTAAGTAATAGATAAGAGTTGTGCATTGACATGTTCTTAAAAAAATCGGTTTTGATCACGACCAGTTATATGTTGATGTTACGCGTGTAAGTATTAGATAAAGAAGAGTCAATGCCAGCCTTTAATAGATAAAGAAGAGTCAAGGTCGGCCTTTACTGTACGTTGGCATGTTCTTAAATAAATCGATTTTTAGTCACAGACAATTATGTTGTTTGTTTCACGTGAAAGTAATAGAAAATGGTTGAAAATATTAGTTTGTGGGGACGACGAGTTGCTCAGTTATTAAACAAATAGTCGTCCCCAGTTATTAAACAAATAATATTGTGTACAAGAAAGTTTTTATATATAGTTTTTTATGAGGATAATTTTATTATTTGACAATTTCCCTACAAATTATCTCTCTTTTATTTATTAATACATTTCAATATTTAATATTCCCTAAAATAAATACAGCCCGTGCATCGCACGGATTACATACTAGTGGTATGAGAATGTTGAGGTTGATTTTTAGGAAATCTAGAATGTTTTGTTATTTAACTAAATATTAATTATTAATTAATAATATAAGATATGATGAGTATTAGTGTATTACTAATTTGCCATTAAAAATAAGTCAAAATAAGGGTTTTTTAAGTAGTTTATTTGTTAATTAAAAATATAAAATAAGATGGATATTACAGTTTTACTAATTTACCATTAAAAATATGTCAAAGTAAGGATTTTTTAGGCAGATCATTATTTTTACAAATTCACTCGTCCTTTTATAATAGTATAGATAAGTTTCATTTTGACTTTATCAACAATTAGCTAAATAAATGACGTTTTGGATATTTTGTATATATTTTTTCATTATTACCCACCACATCTTTTTATATTCACTCTTCATCTTTTCTCAAAACATCCATCTATATCCTTATAAATGAGAGTTATATCATTGGCGCAAAAAAAAATTCTTCATTACTGTGCAACTTCTCAAAATGATACTTATTAAATTTTAAAAAGAGGGAGTACCTTTTACAGTGTCCACAACACTTGCATGCGACACCAGTAAAACAAGCAAGTGCCCAAACTCGGGATGAGAGGGAAAATGTGACATTATAGTATCATCAAAATGCCTATCCATTTCACTGAGACTAGCAAGTATTAGCAATTCCCAATGAAATAAATCACCTTTTTGAGATAAAAACATAACACACAAATCAGTATCACACAACCAAAAAAACCACACAAGGTGGCATTAGCTTCTTGCCACTCCTCAAAGAAACCCTGTTACAGTTATATTACCCGGACACCACACACACATCATAGCTCACAAAGTAAATTATACAGTTCACTAAAAGTAGCAGCACAGCACATACCATCCTAGAATTTGTATTTATAGTCAACTAAAAGGAATGGAAGTAATCCGCCCTAAGCTAATCTTCGATAGCCAGTCGATAGCCCTTTGGTCAAATAGTATTAACCCTATCATCGGGACACCATTGGTTGAATGGTGTGGTGTAAATTTGACACTTATATATTCACCTTTTCATTATCTCTTGCTATTGCTCCTGACCATCTCCAGCTTAGGATCGTAATTTCTGCATTCACCAAGCACTAAAATACACCAACTATTGGTGGAACTCAGGCACAACTGAAGAGCCTCGACAGTCTTCCAAGCAAGCAAAAAGTGTTTTCTCTTCTCATAAACCCTGCTCAGGCAGGATGTATCCTATCTGGATATATAGAGAACTCCAGATTTATGCTCCATATGTGTAACTCGACCAATACATTTCACTGCAACAAACCAATGAGGCCATCACTTAAAACGACAGCAAGCAAGATAATGGGCTGAGCCGAAAATGGTAATCACAGTCCCAGATCAGATAAAAAAACACGATAATAGTCATAATCCTTGAAAACTTGAATGAATTAATCACATTTGCGCTATAAAAAGAATAATAACCCCAACGCTTGCAATGAGGCGGGGATTGAACCAAACCAGCGAAAAAACAATAACTTCATGATGCAAAACTTGGTATAAGAATTTCAGAGGCAATCATATAAGAGTGCAGGATATTAAACTAAATATCTGATATCAAAGTAGACATCATAATGGCTATATACTCAACTAGACGATATCAACAGAATGAATCTTACCAAAATGCAACACAACTATGTACCCGAGCTGGACTTTTGGACCCACACTTGTTTCTGATTTTTTACACAAACAATTAGCCAAGACACAACGAAATGGGGTTAAAAAATGTTTGTTCGAAATGTAGGCTCAAATTATGTAAGATACCTCATGCGAACCATAACCAGAAGAACCTCCTTTTTTCAAAGGTTTTCCCTCTACAATGGAATGGCCATCTGAATCCTTCAAATTATAACCCGAACCACGGCGACCCCCTTGTCTATGAGAACCTATAGTATTTCACGAAACCATCAGTACAAAATTACAAAGTCAATTAACTATAGTCGCCTCTAAATCCAAAATCTTGGGAACACAACCAACCATTCTCAGCAGAGTAATGACTTCCACGACCCCCGCGGTTAACCAGTATGTCATGTTTTGCTTCTACATTAGTTCCTGAAACGAAAAATTAATTATATAACTGATATATAAGCCACAAGACTTGATAACATAGACACTAAACACCTAGAGCATAATAATAATTCCAAATTACAGTAACTATTTAAAGAAAAAATTCCCCTATCTACACCTTCTGCAGAATCCACCACTTGAGATGTCTGGGAAGCAGATGACAACGACTCATCACTTGCATGTGATCCATCAGGATGCCTAAGAGGAGCCCAAACACCACGATCAGGCCTGTCTTTGTTCCTTGTGCGCCTTTCCTGCTTATCTGAAGGTGTGGCATGCAAATTCTTGGAGATTACTTTGTTGTCATCAGGAGTACCGTTTGTATCTGTCTGGAATGACTGCAGACTAGGATGTCGAGGAGGTTTTCTGTCCCTTTCCTGATTAGAAATTTGAGAACCTGATGATGGTTGCCGAGTGTTCACAAGGATATTCCTGATAATCCTTCCACTAGCTTCACGCCGTTGGTTCTGTTTCAGAGGAGCAGAACTGTGAGAAGGTTTGGCAGGACTTGCTACATTCTGCTGGGTTGATGAACCATCGGGTATCTACAAAATAAACAAAACAGTCTTTTTCTCTTTCACTGTAACTTTAAAAGTCGCATTGAAGGACAATAATAGAGTTTAATGGAACTAATGCAAATGAACCAAAATTTTATATCTGATTACGGTACAGCTTGAAAAAATAGGAATTTGAAAAACTGAATGATCAAGATTAGGAATTCAGTTGTGTCATTTTCAATACATTGAAATTTTGTTTATCATTCTGCTCATAAATGTCCCACAACATGGAAAAATAACTCAGCTAAAAAGTTCTGAATGCTGGCTCATGGATGCACTATCATTAATCTTAGGCCCACTCTTGTTAAAGAAAAATATTAGAGGACTTACACTGGAAATATCCTTTTCTTTTCCTTTCAGAAGCAGGATTTTCTTCTTCCCGCTTCCACTAGATCCAGGACCTCCTGAAAAAATCCAAATGGCAATGCAGAAATAATACCACATGAGATATGGTCACGACCACAAAATACACTGAAAGAGGCACCTTGTCATTTTCATGGTCCAACAGTGAACTCCTGATTGAGAAAAATGAAAATTGGCAGTTCCACTTCCAAAATCCCAACCCGTCCAAATAAATAAATAAAATAAATTTGCTAGAAAGATCTGAAAAAAGTTCGCAATTCGTGGTAATGCATAGCAGATCAGAATGGCTACAATTGACTACATTTTCAGAATCTGAAATGCATATATGAAAATGCCCAAACTTGATAAAAATGGATATGTACACCAATGTGTAAAATAAAATACGAAGAGGTGGAATGCTCTTTCCAGGTCAGATTGTCTCTCCCCGGTGACCTCCCTCCACAATGGAGCAGACAAACTGTGCATCTAATGAGCATTAACCCAGAAGTACTAATGGTTGCAAACTTACTGACAGAAGTTGTCAGATCCCAGAAGAGAAAAGGGTAAAAATGAAAAAAGGCAGAGAAACAGAATCCGAAGGTCATAGAGTACAGCACCAGATAGCTGATCTCACACATCCACATCATGTACACAGCACAACTATGATATATAGCATGAGCATGATACCCAACAATACTACTGTGTTTTCAAAAAATGTAACACTTTCACCTTCGAATGCTTCATTTCCTGACGCAGCTGCTGAATCGACAGACTTGCCCATAGGCTGTTGATCTTGTTTATGCACCAGTAAATAAGTTGGTTTGTCATTGTTGCTTACAATCTTGGAACTTTCCTTTAGTACATACTGGCAGAGCAAGAGAGAGAGAAAAAGAGAGAATAGCTCAATAAGTTGATTTGGCTATATATGGTAAGAATTCAAATATAAACAATTGAATATAAGATAGCAATAACAAGCAGTTTTAAACATCAAAAGTGAATCTACATGAGCTATCATGGTACAATAACCTGATTCTAAAACCAGATATCAATGAGATTAAAAAGGAAAAACGGAACTACAAAAGAAAGAAATAAAATAAAGGCAAATAAGGCCACTTAACAAAGAAACAGACCACCTCCCCTGGATATAGACATTATTCCATAAATGCATTCATCTTCCCAATCATGATGTCGTGTTGTGCACTACTCTATACCATTATTGTCAAGATTTTACAGAACCACCAATTCCTTGCCATTTTCCTTATCAGTGAATATTGAATATACATTATACAAACGCATGATAAGGTCAGAGCCTAAGTTGAAAGATAAAAATACAGCACTTCCACAGTGGAGAGAGTTCCATCCCATAAAAAGAAATATGATGATGATATGAACCAATCCCTATTACTACAGTCAACTGTAGTTGGAAAAAAAATAAAATCATAAACTTTGAAATGTTCAATTTACCATGGTAGCAGAAGCCCTCCTTTTATCCAATCCTCTCTTTGAGGAACTAGAGAGTGGACTCCTGGAAGACGTTCCACTCACTTTTCTAGCTGGCTTTCCATTCACAATAGTTCTCTATCAAGGGTAGAAAAAAAATCAGATACGTGTAAGACATTGGAGAGAAATTGCTTCAAGTGTTCCATTGAATAAATTAACCTAGAAGAAAGTAGATTGCAATACTAACAACAATGAAAAATGGGAAGAAAATACAATTGTTATATGATAACAGTATATATATATATATATGTATATATATATTGAGAGAGGTATATCAATTTTGATTTTTCACACTATACTCATCCCTAAAGGATCATTCTTTTCTTTGACGTCAATAAAGGGATAATAAATCAAAGCTGCAGACACCATATTTTTCTACAATACCAGTAAGGAGTATTTGTAACCCTTGAAACATTAGTCTATTCTTATGCATGTGTGCTCCGCCCACATGTGTGTGTGTGTGTGAGAGAGAGAGACAGAGAGAGAGAGAGGAGTTAATTAGAACAAGTAACCATCGACGCAGCTGGGTCACACATCTTTGTGAATCAGATTGTAAAAAATGATGAAATTGTCAGTTGGATTCCACAAATGAAATTCCTACCCGAGCTTCACCCTTTGCAGCTCTTTTCTGGCGAATATAGTCCATTAGAGGAGTCACAACGGGATCATCCCTTGGAGCACCTAAAACAAAAGACACAGTTGCTTCAACTACAAACTAAATAATACTTGCAAAAATGTTCTCTCCTTTCACAATTCCATGCTATCAAATTTCCACTTGTATTCGAAACTTGAGCTCATATTTAAGACTGACCTGCTCGTTCTGCTTCCTTCCTCTCCAACTGTATCTCTGCACTCGGAAGATTTTCAACAGGCTTTGCGAGAAGTTCAAGGAACTCCAAATATTCAGGATCTACAAGTTTGTCCATGAGTTATTACGAGTTCAGCATCTAAAACATTGTTAAATATATTCAATATGCAATCAGCATAACATATTTTACCTTTCAAAATAGTCCCTACACGACCATCCTTCTTTGACCATTGCTTTGGAACACGTTGTGAAGGAGCATACTCAACAATAGTTTTAAACTGAGTTCCTAGAATAAAAGCACAATTATGAGTCCAGTCATCATATAACATATTTGTAGGGCATCTTTCTCAAAAACATATTATCTTTACTAAATCAGCAGCATTACTAGTTTACATATGCAAAAAAATTATGTACGCCATTACAAGCCTCAGAAACTGCTCTCAAGGGTGCTCTGGAACATTACCTTTCTCATTGACAAAAACATGGCCATTAAAATACTCAGCAAACTCTATCACATCTTCTGGTTTATTAAAGTCAATGTAAGCTCTAGAATATGTCACATGCTTTGAGCTGCAAAGAAAAGTGTAAGTCAAAGAATGACTCAGCAACTCAATGAAATCTCCTGGTTTACTCAAGTCAGCATAGGATGCTGAGACATATTCACGAAAGACAAGAAATCAGTATTATGGGACACTCACAATATGGCAAATTAACTTAATATGATGAAAGTAAACTTTGGGACAACGCCTCATGAAATTTGTTTCCAACTTCCTATATTTTTGTTTTTTTTCCTCCCTCTACAAGGAAACCCAACCGCAAAGGAATGAACAAGTATTGTAACACGATGACAGGCTTTCAATTTTAGATAAAATGACATCTTAGCATCTCACATTAACATCTTCTCAAACTCATTTTGGGGGAGAGTGACTTGCTGGCCCAGATAAAGCCCTGCCGGAGCATAAGGATCATGACACATATTGGGCAAGCAAGTTGCTCACTCCCCAAAAGAGAGAATTGAGCAAGCAAGAGATAGATCCTGCCCATCATCATCAAGTCCAAAAAAGTAGGTCATGAAGATTAGATACTGATTGGAAAACAAACTTCTTTCTACTATGATGTTCAAGCAAATATTATCCACATTATATAATTAGCAGTCCATATTTTTTTCTTTCATATATCAATGAAAAAACTATCCTCAAAATTGGGGACCACTGCAAGGATAAATAAGCACAAAACAAACCCCAAAGAGCATATCTCCCAAAACAGGGAATTAAATCCTACAATCCATAATATCTTAGAAGTCTGATAATGGATAGCTTCAATGGTCTATGTTTCTCTTCAGACACACATTATGGGCCATAACGGCATAACCTATCCAATGGTAATTTTCCAAAATCTAAATAAACTTGAAGAGAACAGCATCGAACGTCAAACTTTTCACTTCAATGCACCAAGTAACAGTTCACGTGCAGGATATTCGTAGCAGCATTTCTATCACCAGAGTACCGGATCAAGCAAACATAAATCTTACAACATTAGGCCCACGATAACCGAAAAATGCTATCACTACCGAAAAAATAACACTCAAAAGAATTAAAGATGAATCTAAGACCAGATCAACATAATGATGCACAAATAAATTGATCCAATGGGTGTAGTAAACAGATAAGGAGCAGATAAACAACCTAGAAGGACAGAAAACTAATTCTGAGCAACCAAAACCACCAAGCTGAGAATAAAGACAACAGATTGTATGAACAAAGATTACATAATTTCAACCCATCAACTTGACAAACTAATTGCCTCATAGCTTGTTGAGGAGTGACATCTTCTCAACAGTATATTTCTGATGAGAATGACAGACCTTGGAGCAGTAGTTGCATACTAACACATGACAATGCATCTATCCAACTACAAACTTCTCCATCAAGCCAGAATATCATAAGAGGCATAGCTCAACCAAACAGAAAATACTGCAAGCGAGAGCGAGAGGTATAATGTGAAGTTTGGTTCCACAAATCCAACCATGACACACTATAAAGTCATTGGAGGCAGGACTAACAGAAAATGTAACATATGTTAGGCCTAACAGGTCCAAACCACTAAGCTGAAAGATAATCAGATAAAATAAGCTGATAGACAGCCCGCATCCAGTCTAAAAGGATAAACATATATTTACTACTTCGCTAGGATTTCAGCATCATAGTCATTCCGCATCACTCTTCAATGTATTTGGCAAAACAAGTATGAACATTGTAGCATCAGTGATGCAATCATGATTAACATGAAAATTGAAATAATACCAAAATTTCTTCCCTTGGCACATAAAATCATGAAACACAAATAATAAATAGAGGCAAAACCAAACAACACTACATAAATTTCATAACGATATTCCCTCCAGTATAAAGCAAATTGGAATACAGATACCACGCGACAAGTTAACAGCTCATAATAATAATAATAATAAAAAAAAAAATAAACCAAGCTGAAGAAATATCCAGGACTAGTAGATCATATATATACAAAAATAAAGCATAGTCTTGATCCAAGACCTAATAAATAAATGCATCTTCCTACATTTTTTGGATTACTCATATTACAGGGAAGTTCCTGAAAACTGAACAACCCTGTCATGAAGCTACAGATCATGTATGCACTTGCAAACTTCACCCAAGGAATGGGGAACTTTCATGACTGTCTATCCACACCTGACTAGACTGAGAGCATATATGGAAGACCTCGACAACAGGCACTTATGTTCCAAAAAAAAAACCCTTTTGGGTTAAAAAAAATAATTGCAATAGGTTAAAAAATGATTGCAAAAAATGAACTGCCCCATCCGAATCCTTGTGCACATGGAAAAAAATATAGACCTAGCACACACACACTTCACACACATAAACATTCTTCTGAAGACAGACAAAGAAAGACACACCACACACGGTTCACACTTAAAAAGATTCTTACAAGCCTTATAAAACCATTATTCCAAAATAGATCATCAGTCGAACCCTGAAAAAATAAAAATAAAAGCAGTCGAACTATTAATAGAAACAAAAAACACTTAAATCGCACCTTTGTTTGCCCGGTCGAAAGACAAGCCAGTGGTAGCGGCCCAAGAAGCGTGAATCAACCTGCTCGGTGAGGTTTGACTGAGAAATCGTCGGCGGCAAGTGCCGCAGCACCACTTTAGTTCGATCTAGAGGACCCTTCATGCGCAACAAAACCCTAATACCAATCCTATAGTTGATAAGACGAATTACTCTCCAATTAACTCGAATTCCAGCCGATAAAAAACTCAAATGCCCTGAAATTACATATCTGAAAAGTGGTTTTCCTCATCGAACGGGTGATACTTTCTCCCTGAACCCTAATTGTGAAACGTGGGTTTCGGAGAGGCCATGAGAGAGAGAGAATCGAACAGAAAGGGGGAAATTTTGTGAGAGTGAATCCGAGAGAGAAATTGTGTATTTCAGAAGATATACGTGATTGGGTGAATCACCTGTTTCGCATAATTGTACGTATTTGTATTTTTCTTCTCTATTTTATATAAAAGCGATTTAATGTTGTGCTGCATTTGTTAAAAGGTCCAATGAAAATATTAAAATACAATATGAATCATGTGGGATATGAGGTAGCAATAAATAAAATTAGTACTAACACCAGTATGGTAGTATACTACAAAAGTATTGAATAAAGAAACATTTATATCAAAAAATATAAAAGATAAACATAAAAAAAAAAAATTAACTTTTAATATTGCATTGTTAGTTTTAAATTAATGCTAGATGTTATATATGAACATAATATTTTTAATCGTGAGATTTTTCAAAGTTGAAGGAATTAATTTTAGTACCATTATTAAGAATTTTACTTTGTATAATAGTAATAATTATGGCGCACCAGTGCCACCTAACTTGTTATTTTGAAATATTGATTGTAAGTGATAACTTTATTGATATGGAGGCGTGTACATGTGTCTTTGCAGCAGTTCGATCCTTGCCCGTGATTATGTTTACCATCGGGATTGTTAGACGACATTCATCTTTCATGTTTGACCGGGGGAAACGACGGGAGTTTCCTACCATGAGTTCGACACCACACGCCGACCACGGGAGCGCATCGGCTTCGAGGGCGAAGCTTCTGAACCGGGGGAGTATGGTGTAGATTAGTATTTATTATTATTATTATTATTATTATTATTATTTAATAGGTATCTTAGAGAATAAGTTAAAGTCTTGGGTTAGGAGCCTTATTTAAAGGGTTCTTCTGCTTTGTTATGAGATAGTTGATTATTGAATAAAAATATGAATTGATTGTAAGTTTTATCGAGAGAGTATCTCGTTTATCCTTCCCACTTGTACGCAGCTCTACATCAAATAGCCAGGCCGGTTACGGGTGCCCGCCGACCCGGCGGGCCGGGCCCGGCATTTGGCCGAAGGCCTCGGGCTTGCCGGCGTTGGACGAGCCACATATTTGATGTGTCGTCGACCTTCTGTGTGGTGTTTCATCGGCACCAATAGAAGATTTTTACAAGTAATATATGAGAGTATGCTTTTCGCCATGGAGAGAAAAGGTTTGCAGATTTTTTTTTTTTTAAAAGGAGACTAGATAGTGGACGGTTTCGGCAAAGATGGTGGGCGGTTTAAAAAGAATATAATCTCAAGTAAATCAAGGTTTAAAAAGAATATAATCTCAAGTAAATCAAATCTAATCCAGCTTATTCCTTCATTAATAGATAGTTTGACTAAAATCTAAATTTTGATATATGTGCAATTATTTTGTGGTGATTCAGTATTTTTACAAATAAAATTTAATTAAGTGTAAATATGTAATATAAAGAATATATGTTAGTGTAGTGTGTAGTTTTCTCAACTCTATTGTCTTAAAATTCTATCTAACTTTTGTTTTAAAGATTCGTCCAACCTCTTGAATAGTTCATCTAAACATATATTTGAGGTGAAGTCAAACTTTATTATTTTAGAAAGAAAAAAAAAAAGAAAAGAGAGAGAGAGAGAGAATATGAAGTAGTTTTGTTTTGAAAGACCAAAATTTTGATTTTAGAAAAAAAAAAAGTTAACATATGGCCTGTGCACAGCCGCGACCACGCGGCCTTGCCCGCGCCCAACGTACACCGAACCGTGCCCAGCGTCCAATCACTGCGACCGAGCGACCAAGCCCGCGACCTCGCGTGCAAACTTCAGAAGCTCCCAGTCCGCGCGGCGGAAAACCCTGAGCCCCGCTGCCTGATACTCTCAACCTCGCGACAGCGCCCACGACCAAGCGAGCATGTCCGCGCCTCAGAACAAAGCCGTTGCCCCGCGAGTGACACTCGCGCCCTCGCGAGTTCCCTGGCGACCTCGAGAGCAATGATACTGTGCGCGTGACTAATGCGAGCATTTTTTACTCATCCGGGTCCGTACTGTTATGCGGGACCTATAAACGATACTTTCTCATTTTGATTCTAGTGCTCGAGAGTGACCAACCGACTTGTGGTTGGCATCGTATATCTTTACCCGACAAATGAGAAACTGACTCATCGGTTGACCATTACGCTTTTGTACGCCGCACAACGGTTGAAAATTTTTATATATATATATATATATTTACATTTAAAGATAAAAAAAAAAAGTTAAAAAAAAAGGACAGAAAGTAATTTTTCTTTGGAGAGATAAATGATTTACTTTTTTCAATAAATAAATAAATGATTGTGTCTTGATTATTAAAGAGATCAGCGGGAAAGATCTATATATATATTAAAGCGGAGCAGCTGCCAAACTCCCGCTCAAACTTACATTAGTTATTGTATTAATTGTAGGATAATTTATTTCACGTTATTTAAGATATTGTCTAAACTTGAAATATGTATTGTAGCTATTAATTAACTTATGTATTGATTGCAATCTTGGGTAATTAATTGCCTATGTGTTGTAGTAATTTTAACCGGAGTAGAATCGAAAGATTCGTTCCCCGGGTCGTATCGCAAGGAAGGTCAACCGGATTATTTTGTTCGATTATTCAATCACAAAAGAAGATAAAAATCCTAAACACTCTAATTCAATGATTTGGGTTTCAATTATCAACTACCAACTTTAAATTAAATAAAGCACGAAATGAACAGTAACGAATTAACTGAGAATTTAAAGAGCTAGGGAATCGGGGACAACTGCTTTCGGTTCTTACACAACTACCGGCAATCAATTGCTCGGTTAAAGGAAGTGAATCGTCTCTCGTTTAGAGGTTCACTCTCAATAACTCTTCGTAACAAGAGAGTGAACATATACAATTGACTATCAAATCTAGCAACTCATAGACAATACTTTGACGAACAAGTCTATTCTAAACGAGCCTAAATCGACCAATGTCTCCCCTTTCGGTTCTAAACAATGATTAACTAGGTTATATAGGTGATCAATCTATTAACCCTAAATTGAACTCAACTCGCATAGATATGAACAATTAAGAACAAGCAATTATAATTGAACCTAATCAATTATCCCCTATCCCTAGCAGATGGATTTAGCTACTCATATTGGATTTGATCACACAAACATTCATAACCCAAGACATCATCATCAATGAAAGAATTGAAGAAAAATACTTACGATTAATGAAAATTCTGAACTCAATCCAATAGTATCCGAATCCAAAGGAAGTTAATAGAGGTTTTTAATCTCTAAAATCGAATCCCAAGAGCAAAACAATGATAGAAGGTGTTTTTCCTCTCCAAAACGCGCATAAAATCAGTCTCAGCGCCTCAAATAAAACAAACCCTACTCCTAATTATAATAGAATCGCGAACTAATCTGATAAGCAGTAGCTAGCGCCGCTAGAGGGGGGTTAGCGGCGCTAATGCTCGAACAACGACTTTTCTCTTCAGCTCGCTAGTATATGGCAGCGGCGCTAGGTCCCTTAGCGGCGTTAGCGACCCCTAACGGCGCTAACTCAACAAAACTGCGCTTTTTGTCCCGTTTCGGCTCGCCTAACCTCCCCCGGTCGACTTATAAGCCCCCAACTGTCTCGTGCACTCCCGGGTTCCGCCCGAGCTCGAACATTGTCCTTCACATGTTGGTCCGCACGACTAGCTGAACGATCCTAGAGCAGCGTTTCGAATACCTGAAACCAACACCAACCGAGAAAACACGGAAACAGGAGAATAGGAAGAAAGAAATACGAAAAACACGAAAAATACAGAAATAACACTAAACGCACAAAATGACTCAAATGACCGGAAAAACCTACAAAACAACCTAGAGTGGGAAAAGAAAGATAAACAAAATACCACAAAAGTAGTAACAAAAATGGGACTAACAACTCCCCCACACTAAGACCTTTGTTCGTCCCGAACAACAAAAAAAAAAGGAAAGAAAAGAAAACAAATAAGTGAGTAAGGACAATATAGTTCACGCAAGACCAATCTCAAACCAATCAATCGAACTGAGAAGAATTCCAATGAACACAAGAACACACTTCAATAATTAACTCGGCCATATTGAGGAACAAAGACTCTCGAGTATGCAAATGTATATGCCTCACTCAGTTTCTTTCGCAAAATATAAGATAGGTGCACTCAAATTGGTCATCAGTCACGTTAATCATAAATTTGCCTATCGTCTAACTTCTACTCTAAAACAATCAAATAAATGAGACAGCGAATCAAGAGGACTTGTAGGGATGTAACGTAGGCTCTTTGGACAGGGTAGGATAAATATAGGCTAAGTGGCTCAATATGTACAATCTAATCCATCACTTCACCATGACAATAACTCATCCGGTTGTTACCAACCGGTTTCTTCCACAACTCCAAGAACACGTACTTCCCAAACAACACACATTTTTATTTTTTTTTTTTTTTTTTTTTGCGAAAACCTATTGGACATTATTATCTAGGTTTAACCTTCGGGTTTTCTGCCCGAGTCTCCTAGACCGGTTTCCCGTACTCATAGCCCATATCCACTACATTAGTGGACGGAGCTCTTGGAGTAGAATCCATTCGGTTTCCCCCTTTTTTTTTTTTTTTTTTTTTTTTTTCAAATCGAATCAAACATGAATATTTACACAGCAATCAACCGTCACCTCCAACTCCCAACCCGCAACTCAATATCTTCATCACGCGGTTAACAAGAAAATTCAATTAAGGCTCAAAGGGGATGACTAGTGATTATTATTCTCGACAAAGAAAAAGGAAAAGAGAGTACAAGAAATGCCTCAACCATATTCACGTCACATCAATCTAATCCAATTATTTCAAAGCAGTCTCAAGGCAAATTCTAATTAACAAGATTCAGACCAATATCACACAAGAAACAATAAGGCTCAAACCTCACAAGGTAAATATGTTCCTCAACACAACGAAGCCAATCAATTAAAGATATATTACTCGTGCTCATCATCAAATCTTCTCAATTAAACCAACGATTATCAAAAAACCTTGCAATACACCAATGTCCAGACTCTGAAAACACACATAAACCTAAAAACTAGACCGAAAAACACACAGAAACCTAAAAACTAGACCGGTCCACCACATAGTCACATAGGAATGTAAAAACTCCCCCACACTGAAAACCAGACAATGTCCCCATTGTCGACTTCAAGTGAGAAAGAGTCAAACCACATAATTAACCGACGCAAAGCAAAACAAACTAAACACAAAACAAAAGAGAAGAGAAAAGAAAAACGTACAAAGCACAGTGACAAGTCACTGTGCGTCCCGTGGTGATGGTGGAGGGTAGGTGCTCCCGGAACTCCAACGGGTGTCCCATTGGTTGAACTGGGTGTCCCATTGGCCGAACTGGGTGTTCCATTGGTCGTGCTGCTGATACTGCTTGTCCTCCCAGGCGTCCCATCGACTATCGTGAGCCGTCCAGTGATCGTCGTTTCTCGTGATAGCCGCGTTCAACTCCGTCCAACGAGCATCGTTGGTGGTAGTGTACGACCGCCACTCATCGTCATGCGCCTTCCACCGAGCCTCCTGGTTCGCATTGTACATCATCATGTCCGCCTGAATGGACCGCAGGTGCTCGTCATTCCGAGTTTGGAACTCGGTAAACCAAGCCGGAGCGTGCTCAGAGAATGCCTCGGAGGGTCCATCGGTCGCAGGAGGCGGCTGAGATGCCTCATGATCCGGCTGCCCGTCGGTACCGGTGTCAACACCGGTGTCGGCCTGACGTGCCGGCAGAGGGGGAACGGACGACGTACCCGCGCCTGATGGACCGACGGCAGTGTGGGAAGGCTCGGAAGCAGGACCCCTCTTCTGTAGGTCCTCCAGATAATTCTTATAGCTCTTCCTCTCGTGCACCGGCCGAATGTGAAAACGGTCATAGATAAACCCGGCACTGGAAAGGTCCCTCTCGGTAATAAACTCGGACGCGAGAGCAGGTTCGTCAATCTGGACCTTGAAATACTTTGCTATGCACGTAACAATGTGTCCCAAGGTCGGGCCACGCCGGATATCATGTCGGATATCAAAAAGGGCGTTCTTGAGGTATTGGAGCATGGACATAGGTTCCCCTTGAGCGATGGACCACAGAATAAATACTTGCTGCTCGCTTACCTTGTTTGACTCCCGTTTCCCAAAAATCATGTGGCAGAGGTATTTGTGCACTATCCCCAAAGCAGCATCGGTGATACATCCCGAGGAATCCCCCGTTTTCTTGAATGACGTGCAAGGGGAAATTAGGGGCCAATAAGGATCAGCCTTCCACCCCATCGGGCTGTGCCGTGCTGCCTCCTCAGTGCCAAACTCGAAGAGCCCGTTCAGTATCGCATCAGTGACCTTACATTCCTTCTCTTTTAGCCGAGCAGTAAGGTACTTCCCATTATCGTGCATGGCCACCGTGCTAAAAAATTCGAGGGTGAGCTTCGGAAAGGTCTCCAGAGCAATATTCTCGAATACCGTGAGACCGAGCAGCGCCAGGTATCGCTTGACATCCTCTGAGATGAGAAGGTCGTCGAGTATGCCCCAATCGAGGTCTTGGGGAGCGGTGAGCGGCTTCGAGAGGAGCCGCTTGTAGTCCTCCACCTCCTGAGCAGAAACGACGTGAAAAGGAACGCCGTATTGTTGGGACAAACAGGGCCCGACAGGAGCCGTAGGAGGGTTGGCAATACTCGATGAGGCCTTGGCCCCAGCTCCTGACGTCGAACCGGTGTTCTTCGATGTGTTGCCCCTCGTTCTCGGCATTGTACCTTCTATGAGGCAATTTATCAAACACTTGGCGTGCACAATAGACTATTGGAGGAGTTGAAGAAGTTGATGATGCTACGACCCGGAGTAGGCCTCCTCTTGCCTCAACAATCAACAATATCAGAATTTGGGGAAGCTATTGTACCTTGAACCCGAGAATTTGGCCGGAATTCGAACACCCCACGAGCTAGGGTTCGGACGACCTTGATTAACC